ATTTGGAAGTGGTGGGATTTCTCGTCTTGTCACGCTGGGTATCTCCGCGGACTGGTTGTCAATTGGCGATCCATAATGGGGCATTCGATTGGTCATTAGTGTGGCTTTCCATAACTTTAACTTGACTAAGTCTGCGGATTGGAGCTCCTCGGCGCCAGGTTTAGACCCAGAGCTGGGAGACTGGTCCCGGGCGGGGTAGGGGGATGACTGGTCTAGTCTCGGGTCCACATGGACCAACTTGTTGTGATGCTTGTAGTATTGGTTGTCACTTGTCAGCCCCTTATTAAAGCGTAGATCCAGTAGTAACACCCATAGGAGAACTAGAATGTAGACATGTTGTCATTTGTAACGTTGTTCTTCTTAATTTCACACTACTGTATGCGATATCATATGGCTTTGCAAACTTTCTTTTGAGATAAGTTCAAGTTTTCGGACAATATTGGTGACAGTTATTATTGGAACTTGTACTTCGAATATTTTCTATCGCATGATTCAGGGAACTGATCACTGGTTGTGCATATTGCAATAGGTTTGTGATAAATTTGAATAAACATTCGACTTTGATTTCTACGTGGGAATTGCTAACTGACATATTATTTTAAAAGTACCTCTATATTTATTAGGCGACAGTCCGTATCATCGGTGGGTATCGTGTAAAGAGCATTAGTAATTCGGACCTCTGTTGTTATCTTGGGTATAGAGGTTAGTATATATTTTATTGTATATTTTTCTTTTTATTACTTCAGTCACTTGAAAGTATTCTGCAAAGACTGAAAAAAGAAACTAGAAAAAAGCTTTCCTTTTATACTCTAACGTTATTTCTAATGGATGGGCTAGGGCCTATGCCCATTTTGCTTCAGATTTTACATTTTCGTTAAAAGCGAATCACTTACAGTTATAGTTGAATTTGTTTGTGTGTTAAAACATACATGGTTAATCATAAATATATTTATATAGATATATAGATATTATGGCGGAAAGCCTATTTTAGTAGCATTTACATGATGCCACTGTTCTCACATGGGTTCCTATAAACATAATTCTGCTGTTTATGTATTTCTCTATGATATAAACCATATTAAGACGTCTTCATTCATTCTAATACATGTATTGCGTTGCTTGCGAAAAATAAACATGAATCGGATGATATTTGTGATTCGTTAATCAATACAATACATATATAACTGACGCAGGTGAAGATTGATCACAGATTTCATAGTTTAAAGATTTAGTGTTTTACCTCAATGATTAAAAAGCACATGTATGCTTGTAAGTAAACAAACAGGGGGAACCGGCGGCTTTAAGTCCTCTCTGATGGACTTCACAATACATGCAGAATAATGCCTTATACGAAAGAGATATAAAAGTTCAAGTTCAAGTTAAAGTTTATTCAAACCAAATCAAACATAAACAATGCTACAAGATATAACAGCAAGGAACAAAAAGTTATTATCATGATCAAATTACGAATTTAACAAGAATACAGTCGCTAGTATATTCCAACATTCATTCCCTTGATGTATGGAATTTTCCTGTAGGTCCACACTGCCCCTTTAATGTACCTTCCACCGTATGTAACATTTATAACTGGCAGTTAAGGTGTGATAACGAGCCAACACATCGCCGCTAACCCAATTTACTCTAGATAAATCATTAGGCTGACGTGCTGCACAAATTAATAGGCACGTGGCGGCTCATCTCCCCGGCAATCAGCCGGTAATTTACCACGAGAGAACCCCCAACTCAGTAATAATAGCAAGAAGATCATCGAATTAAAATACCTGGAGGAGGAGAGGTTGGAAGGGGGGCTTTACCGTAATTACGATCATTAATGTTCAAAGACTGCGTGTCTTTAACCAGCTGTCAAACCGGCAACGCGGTGATTGTCTTCATACTGTTGGCATTGTAAAGAGTGTATGCTTTCCACCAGCAGACCAGGGGAGATGGAAACAAGACTTGAGATGATGTACCAGTTTTCTTTTTGTTTACAAGTTTGCTCTTTCTAGTTTTCATTCGCAGCTTCAACGGGAAGAATAGGATTTTAAAGCATGTGAAATGAAAACAAAACCAGTTGAAAGGGGGTACTTTTTTCTCTCTCTGTCTTACGAGTTTATTTTCTCTTCCTTAGAATTGAACCGTTGAAGAAAGAAAACTGATTAGAATTCAAACTCCCCTTCTGTTATTGGCAAGAAAGGAAAATACCTGATATTCGCATGTGTCAGTCTATTTTATTTGGTGGATGTATATAAGCAGCAGAAATGGGAGAAATGAGATGGCTTATAAGGGTGGTATTGTGAACAATGATGGAAATAAGGGAGGAAATGGAAAATAAAACTTAGAGCCCACATCAAGTGATGTGCTTTTTAGTAATTGGCTGAATCATCTGATATGTCAACCCACTCCACACTCAATTGTCAACATGAGAGAACGGTTAGACCCTTTCACCGTACCGGTCATATTTTGCTTTGTTATCAGCCTCATTTCAAATCGCTCCATGAATCATGAATCTCCATCTACAATGTACATTTACATGTATTTATTCTATATCTAAGAAATAAAGGAAAAACATACTATAACACTCGAAAGAATATATAGGGCGAGTTTCTGTTTCATTTTCTCATTTCCTTCCATCAATGTCAATGAACATCGCTTCTAATTGAAGTCACAGTTCATATACCCGACATGTTAGCATGTATCTTCAATGTCATTGTCGAAGTTGATTAAACCTGTGGCTCTCTACTCCAAATGTTTCCGCTCCGCGCTCTGTACGCGATCGTTTCATGTTTGACACTTGGGTTTTCCCGCCTCTTCCCTCCCTTGTACATCCACCATGCATGCACGGAGGGCCCTCAGCAGACATGAGATTCCCTGGATGTTGTCTGATTTGAGAGCTACAGCAAACTAATCGCACCTCAAACATAATCGCACGTGTATCCTCATAACGGAAAGAGACTACAAAAGCTCATTAGTTGTACCCATCTCCCGCCGTTTGTCTCTCTCTCTGTCGTCTTCGCGCGCAGAGCGGACATGCGGACAAGCAAATCGTCTGTAATTGCCCGCCTCTGGATAAGAGTGAGATAAATATAAGCATGGCCTAGGGAGTGCACAAGTAGCAAGCACCTCCCCTAAAAAAAAAGAGGATTGAGGAAAATTTGTGGGAGCAGTCGTAGAATTCGGTTCATGAGACATGCCTCCCTGATTGCGTTGGACATCGGCTGTGATTTCATAGTCATCTCAGTAAATGAACGGCGTTCTCGAGCGAGCTCGGTAAACATTATGACAGGGAGCGGAAACCGGAGGCTCTCAAACGCGCCCCGCAAATCCAGCTTATCCAAGGCCGTACGGGAGTCACAAGGGATCCTCAATATGCAACACCCTCTCTACACTCTCCCTTCCTCTCTCCCTCTCTCTCCCTCTACCCCACTGAGAAGTTGGAAATAATTTAAATTTTGTGGATAGATCTATTAATACAGACCTTTACTCAATTATATAAAGTAACAACCAAGTTTTTTAAGAGTAATCTCCGGTTTCGTTTCGCGTCTCGGGAGTCGGGTCTTGATTTCTCGCTCCGACGGCTGGGGTTGCTTTTTACTTCCAACTTGGACCTGGGGTTCAATCATTATTCGTCTTCAAATGGTCGCACATCTTTTGCATCCCTTCAAGTTTATACCATTCATTTCTCCAATGATTATCGGATCGACACTGGAGTGGTCGTCATTATTACAAAATATAAATCGTGATTGCTTTTTTTTCCGACGTTCACCCAGAACTTTGAGGGACCGTCGACTGTCACATTCTCTTTGTTCAAGGTCAAGCCGACATCGTAGTAGTGTCTTCAAAATTGCACATTTGCAAATTCGGTAGGTTGTGCTCAAAATAACAACATTGCGCGACTGTAAAATTGTCATTCCTTTTAGAGAGCTCGGCAAACAGTGATATTACTCTAGGCCTTATCAGCCATATTCATAGAGCACTTTATTTTTTCCGGAAATCGTAAAACAGAAATTTGTTGAAAATCTACCCCGAAAATCAGATTTATGCAAATCTCTTTTCAATGTCTCTCTGCTGCGTTGGCTAGGCCTGTTTTTCCTGACTGTGTTTTATCACGAGGTCGAGTGAAGAATTCAATATGCCATCCCAAGGATATAATATTATGTTTCTCTCCTTCTCTCATTTGGACATGTTTAGGTACAAAATTAAAATAGGAAAATGGATAAAGAGGAAGGAAAAGAAGGAGAAGAAAATGAAAAATAGAATCGTACTTGGGTCGAAGAGAAAGTAGTTAACGTGGAATTTCATTCAAGATCAGAGTATGGTAAGATTGACTGCTCTGCTCCCCCTTTCCCTCTCTCTACCCCTCTCTCATTCTCTCTCTCTCTCTCTCTCTCTTGATCATATTGACACTTGGAGAGACTTAATTGTAACCTTGGCTGACGATGCGAATCTCGAGTATGCCTCCCATCCACGACTCAGCTGTTTCACGGCGCATCAATGCAGCTGACGCAATCCCAATTTCTGTAGGTTACTCGAAATTGACACATTTTATATCCTCCCAATTTGCCGTTGCGATTTATGTTTTTTGAACTTTTATTACATTGATTTGTGTCACTTCGTTTGTCTTCCTCCCTCGCGAACAGAGACGAATTTCTCTTAATTCGGCAGCTGAAAGGGGAGATTTTCGAAACAGATCTTCGAATCCCAGAGAAATCTTTTCTAAAGCTATGTGGTGGGCCCAGTCGCGTTGAGTCGTGCACAAATGCACGAAGAGGGAGGAGGCTCACATCAAAAGTTCTTTTGTAAATAGTAAGATTTGAAAGATTTTCCTGTATTTAGTCATGGATGGAACATTGTTTATTTTTAGACAGCAACATGAGGGGCGAACAAATCCTCTTCATGGTGGGATGCTAATTAATCTCTTTGAACCTTTACCCTCTGTTTACAATATTCATCAAATATTTTACCAACTTCTGTTATCTTCTTTTATTTCTTGTAGGTAAATTTTGATCTCCTGCATCTATTCGTGATCGCGGCAAGTCGTCATCGTTTGTGATCGTCTTGGAGATGGACGTCGGGGGTGACTCTTCTCGTTGGATGGTGGTCAATGGCGCCGGTGGTGGTGTGAATGGGAACGGTAGTGGTCAGCATCCTGCTGGGGCTACCGGTGTTGGTGGTGGTGGAGTTGGTGGTGGTGGAGTACCTGGGTCAGCAACGGATACCAGCGGCCACTACGGCAGCCTCGCTCACCATCACGGTTCTCTGTCGGGCGCCACCGCCGGAGTTACGGGGGATCGCATCCCGTCCGCACACTCATCATCATCCGTGGGTCCTCTCCATCTGGGTGACCCATCACAGTATGGCGTCTCGCATCATGATGAGGTAAGAATCTTAAAACAAGATAGTTTCATGTCCTATGACACCATCATCTTGGACTCATAGAGAAATTTGTAAAAAAATAACAGATGAGAATTATGTGACGACTTTGATTGTTTCTCAATCAGATTTTCATTTTATCATCTTTTCATGAAGTGCCACACTCTAGCTATTATTATGATAATGGCTGGAATGTTTTTTTTGTATGCATTGCATCTGCAAACGCAGTAAATTCAAACGCAAACATGCATGATTATAAAAGTTACATTAATACTATTTCCAAATATTAGAAAAATATGTATGATATGATATAGATGAGACTAATGAACTAGTTGGTCTCAATACAGACACAATTATTATGAGTAACATATATTTTGTGCAGAAAATAACAAAGCAAACAAAAAATTATACATTATTTTGATATTTTGCACTTTAAAATTTGATTTCTACGAAGGGATGGTTCAAAAAAAATTACGCTTTATGTAATATCAAGAAAATATTATTTTATACTCCAATAGTTCAAAGGGGTTCATTGGACACAGCTTTCAAAATAATATTTGATTTGAACTGCAAACGGAATCGGATCATACATTTCTGTTAGGTTATCAAACATTCTGAAACGAGTTGTTTATGATGATAATTATATAGGACTTTATATTAAACACAAGACAAAAAATGTATAAAGATCTAATTTCCTTGAATTTAATGGATAGAATGTTATGTAAAGTGTAAGATGTTTTGTATTCTTTGAACCATTCGAAAGTGAAGTTTATCACTAGGAATTGTGTAAAAGGAAAATCTGTATACTATGCTTGGAATATTATAATCATTCATTCCACTTGTTCCATACCTTGAATCATGGATTTCTGCAAAGTATAGTTTTGTAAGTGAACTTACATGCAGACCAATACACAGTTCATGACGAAACTTTTAATAATAGACAAACCATCTTAAAATTGTATGTCCTTAAAAATAGTCTTCTTTTTTTTAAACTTGCAAAATTTAGATTACAGGGAATTTCAGTAGATTTTGGAAAAACTTAATGCGTGAAACAAATACAAGTTTTTAAAATTGATTTTGAATATTGAGATCCGATCGTTGCCGCGGCATACAGTTTAAATTGTGCTTTAGTGTATCTATTTTTATCATGTAATCATTATTGCTGCTTATTAACACATTATGGCTATATTCAAAACCAAATAATGATTATTGCAAATGAAGCCGGGGATCCAGTATTTCTAATTATATTCCAACTCTAACGAAGTAGTGAGTGTTATCGAGCTACCTAGTAACCCTGACCGCATTGATAATCAGTAAGCAAAGTACCATCATTTTCTCCGTTCACTTGATGTATGATGACAAGTCATGATGAATCCGGATCTTAAAGAGAAGATTGGATCTGGTAAAGATCAAAATTGTTTTGATGAGCTTTCTCATTCTGCGTTTGTCGGGTTTGGTTGTTTCACGAGTGCACCTTGACCATATTTTGATTTATAGTGGATTCGGCGCATTATAAATCTCATATATTATTATTATTATTATTATTATTATTATTATTATTGTTATTATACGTAGAAGAAATACCCCCTGAAAAAGAATTGCTTTTGCCACCACATTTAAAATAATTATGACCCAAAAATCTGTGTTTGGGCCAAACATTCATGTCACATAATTGTGTGTAGTCCCATATATACCTACTTCTGTGTGCAGTGCATGTGCTTTTCAGTGAGATTGGGTTAATTTCTTAATGATTTTGTTCATGATTCTAAATCCCCACAGAAGATTCCCTTTTTTTTTTTTTTTTTACTAGATAAGTTACCTTTCCATAAAGCTTGGAGACGGTTTCTTTCACAGTGTAATTGCATGCTGACCAGAACTCAACTTAGTCTTTAAGTTGGGTAAACCCGAATCTTATGACATGTTTCGGGAAGCTGTTTGATGAAATTACCTCAACAACTTCCCCTCGAATAACGCGACAGTCAGTACTAATAATGTGGATTATGGAAGGATGTGAATGGGACCAAAATGCTCTGAAAATGCTGTATTTTGGAGAGTGATTTGAACCGTTTGTGTTAGTTAAAGCTTTACAACAAATATCGTTAGATATTGTGTATGTATTCTTTTTTCTTTTTCATTCACACATGATGGTATAGATAGCACTCTGGTAATGCGCATAGAAACAGAATGAGAAGACCGTAAGAAGATACTCTATATATTACTGGGATCTTAATTGATGTTTTGGCTGAATTACCATAACATTGTAAATAGAGTATTAATCATGTAGTTTGGGAAATCTTTGTTCCATATTTTCATTTTCTCTTTGTTTACTTTTTGTTGTGGTTCAGATGAAACACCACCCTTCCTTGTGTTTAGATAGGGTAGGTACGATAGTGATTATTAGCAAAGTTATTTTGGGTCTTCACATGCAAAAAATGGCGTTAGAATGACAAATTTCGTAAAAACAGTTGAATGTTATTAATAGGTGTAGAATATGAACTGATGACGAGCTCTTAACTTGAGAGGACTCATTAATGAGTCTGTCATTGTGACGTAATATGTACATTAATGCCGCTGAAACACGCAGAGTGGTTAGCCAAATTTGTCCCGACGGAAATGGTAATATGCTGCAAAGCATGGAAAATCTTAAAACAATCATTATGACAGACCAAAAAGGAACGTATGTTCTCCTTTGACGTAGGATCGATTATGAGATAGAGAGAGAGAGAAGGGGGGGGGGGGGGGGCTAAACAAAGTTTTTTTTTTTTTAAAGATGGGGATAGGCGTAATAACTAATATCTGTAAAGTTCCCGATAAACAAAAAAATTATGACACATTGTAGAATAGATGTCGTAGGCATTATTGAATCAAGAAAACAAATATTAGTATAAGGAGGGGGGGGTTCGAATTGCTTGTAGAATGTATTAGAGAACCAAATTGGTTTGAGACACCAATAGAAATTCCCTGAAACAACCATTTCCCAATCAACCACACGGAGACAAAGAGAGAATATGCTAAGTAATGTATAAACAGGGAACATACAATAGTACATGTATACACAAGGTAAAAAGAAAATTTTGTAGTGTGACGAGATTTTTGTACTGTGACGACCGATAGATACCCTCTCCTTGCCCTACTTTTTCATTGTTTTTTTTTCTCATGAAATCCAACATGGTCGTCTGTTTTTAGGTGTTTCCATCACTGTGTAACCGCGTATTTACATATCTACAGGAAAAGGTGATTCATGCACGAGTACATTTAGAAAAAATGTCGCCATCGTCAACTTCGGCAACTTTATAAAAAAAACAAAAGACTGCACTGCATGAAAAAGGTGATAATTGAAAAGAAGATTAATCATTCTATTCAGACAATTGCTTATAAATTTACGCAAAGCATATCAACAAATATACAGATCAACTTTTTTAGTCTATCGATCACTCCACCACTCCGTAAATCGGCAACACATAATGCGTGGCCAATGCAAACAAGGGGTTGCCAATTTCCCGCCGCATCTGACAGATCAGACAGGCTTATTACCTTGACCACTACACCTGCTGTCGATTCTGTGTAATCGTGCTATTTTCAAGCCTTTGCGGTGTCGTATTGCGTTTGTAGAGTAACCTCTCAATTTAGGTGTGAATATATTATCATGTCGGGCTACATGTAATTCGTATCGTTTTAAGTCATTCCTAAAAATCATAGTTGAAACCTTTGCTAGAAATATTGATATACAGGACTTTTGAATAGCCATCTTGAATTGTAATTCGATAATAACCTAAATTATTGTGACACCATATTTAAACGTGTAAAGTAGTTTGAAACTGATATGAATTGTAGAAATCACTGATCATTAATGATGTAGACAAATACAATTACAAAAAAACATTGCGAGATATAGGCCTAGTAATTACTTAAATTAATCGTAAGAAAATTAGAAATGCACCATCGTGCTACAGTTTACTTGGGAGCAGAGAACAATTTGTCTGACCAAATCCAAGTCGACCATGCTAGTAGTGGACAATCATCAAGGGAACTGGGCATAATAATTGAGTACATCATGACCAAATCACTGCGATATGTAACTTGCCCCAAGCCAGAAATCCCAAAGCTTTACTCTCAACGGGTGTACAATTATTGACAGAAATTCCAATGTATTTCTAATATTAAAACACATTGTAGTGGATTCCTAGAGGGTAACACAGGGGTGTATACTTCCACCCCCTTTGGACTCTTTCTGTCTATCAGTATTGTTCAAGAAATCTGGTGTGATATTTTAATTTCGCATGGCAGATATGAGTGATTTCAATATATATTTCTTACGAGTTATATACCCTTAATTATTATATTGTATGTACTTATTGATTGTATTAATACATTTATAACTGGGAAAATCCAATTAGATGTTTACTTGATTATCAATCCCGAAATGAATGAAATTATGATTAACATACATTTAGTATGATAATTTGCCCCAAATCTAAAGGAATGTTGTTCAGATTGAAGTTGGAGTAGGATTCATACAAAATCCTTTGGAAAAGAAAGACGCAATACAAAAATAACGCATTGATTGTTAGTGCTTGTAACTCAAGTCTCTCTAAAAAAAAAAAAATTTGATAATAATAATAATAGCAGTAGCTACTTGAATAGCCTACAGGTCCACCTTTCGGTGCTCATGTCGCTTAATATTATACTCTGATACTGTACGTTCCAAAGATATACCCGCACCCCGCCGCCCCCCCCCTTTTTTTTTAAAAATCTGACCACGCCTGAATCCACCCTTGCTATCGAGGGGTTATTTTGCAGGTGCCCTGAGAGTTTAAAACAATGACAAGTTATAATTGATGCGATTTATGACCCCAATCATCACGTGTCATTGAAGCCTGAAGTACGAGCAAGTCAAGCGTTGAGAGTCGGCTGGTGAGTCGGTGTTGGATTACACCAGCATTCATCATCGTTTCTCATCGCTCAGCTCCATTGTCAACAACAATAACTTGTTTTGTTTTCCCCTT